CCCAGCCCCTCACGGTGGTGTCTGAGCCCCTCGTGCAGCCGAAGCAGGGACAGGAGCTCTGTGTCTTTGCTGCCAGGGGCTGCCGGGGAGGAGCTGTAGGACGCTGCCAGCTCCTCGTGCCCAGCCAGGCAGCACCGCCCAGGAGAGGTGGCAGGACCTAGCCCTCGCCCTCCTGCTGCAGGGACTACCCAGAGCGCTGACTCCTGTGCCAGGAGCCCCCTCCCAGTGCTCTGCACACGGGGGCTCGTCCGCGGGCCCGGTCAGTGACCTGCGATTCCTTCGCTTTCAGCCCCAGGTAAACCCGAGATCGAGCCGCTGGATCCCAGCACCAAAACCCTCAGGTGGAAGCCGCTGCTGCCCTGCAAAGGGGCGATCGTCGGGTACCAGGTACCGGGGCAAGCGACTCGCTGGGCAGCCTCTGGAGGGCGTCTCAGCCCGGGGCACGGTCTGAGTGGGCAGGGACAGCGAGAGAGGGAGGGAGCATCAGGGGGCATCGTCCAGGTGTCATTATCCATCTCTGCTGCCCCTCCCGGAGCGCCGAGCCCTGCCCCAGAGCAAGGGGCACCTCGCCCCCACTCTCCAGCTCCTCCCTGCCCCTCCCTGAGCTTTCCCCCTTTATGGCCAGTTGGGAGATTAAAACTACCCAATCCCTCCTGTCTGCAGCATGGCATACGTCTTGCTGCGTGCCCCTGTGCTGCGGGTTCTGACCCGGCTCCTGCCTGGTGCAGCAATTGGCTCCGTGCCCCTGTGCTCCGGGCTCTGACCTGTTAGTCTGTGCTGCGATCCAGGGAGTTGCTTTTCACCTGTTATCCCTGTCTGGGTTGGGCCTTGGTCGCTGCCAAGGGGCCGTCTCACCCAGGAGACCCTGGGGTGGATAAGCTCAGCTGAGGCGCTGGAGTGGGCGCTCCCCGAGGGGATGGGGCCAGGGCATTCTCCCTGAGGGGTCCTTGGCTCTGGAACTCACTGCCCCCGTGTCCACCCCATCCCACATAGTGTAGACTCTGTGTGGGGCCCAGCCGCTCCAGCTTGGGGGGGAGAGGGGGAGGGGTCCAGTGGAGCTGAGGGAGGCCGCTCAGATCTCCTGATGCTCATCGACCCGGGTCCAGGCCAGTGTTCGGAGCAGAGCCTGCCCTTGTCGTGGTGACTGAGGGTCTCGTAGCAATGGCAGCGCCCGGGACCACGCGGGTGCCCCTCGATGTCTGGCTGCCTCCCCTGTCGCTGGCTCCTCAGGGGTTGCCGGGCTGGCTCGGCGGTCCCTGCTGGGAGCCCCCAGAGGGTAAATGGCTCGTAGCCCAGGGGCACTCGGGTGGGGTTCCCTGCCTGCCTCCCCGGGAGGCTGGTGGGGGCGAGGGAGCAGCAGCCTGCAGGTGACGCTCGGCTCTGGGTTTTCATCTCCGCTGACCGGCCGAGCTAGAGCCCCTGGGGTAACAGCAGGCGGTGCTGGCAGAATGTTCTCTGGCAGGGCCCTCTGGCTCTGGGATCCCTCCCACCTCCGGTCACAACAGTCCCGGCTCCTTTCTTCCCCTGGGCTGGGTACAGCCGGGGCCGGGCTGTGGGCGTTCGGTACGTGCCGCTGGCTGGCCGGGCGAGCTCGGGACCTGTGTCGGGCACTGTATTCTGAACGGAAAGACAAGCACCCGTTCAGCAGCGCTCTGTTTGCACTCGGCCCCGTCAGCACCTGTGGGGCTGTGGTCGGCTCCTCGGGGGCTGGGCCTGGGGTGCTGGGGGGGCCCAGCTAAACACAGCAAAAGCGATAACAGGCCAGAGCCGGTGTGGGAGGGTTCCGGCCCAGCGGCTCCTGGGTAACATTGACCCCGGTCCAGCCCAGCACTTCCCCGGGGACCCTGACAAATGGGGGACCCCTGTGACGGGGAGTGGCCCTGGGCATTCACCTACCTGAGCGGTGCCCGTCCTTCTGCCCAGGTGGCCGTGCCGTCTGCGCAGAGGAAGGAGAAATTCCCAGGTGCTGCTGGGCTGGGCAGCTCTGCTGTGCTGGGGGAGGAGGGGGGTGAAGTCCCTGCTGGCACAGGGGGGCTCAGGCAATGCCCAGCAGCGTGGGGCTTGTGCCCTGTGTATCAGGCGGGGCTGGGGGTCAGAACCGCTCCTCTCCAGAGCCACGTTCCTTTCTCTAGCTGAACATCACGGCCAGGAGAGAGTACGACAGTGATTTCCTCGAGGTCGAGGAGCTGCGGGTGAATCAGTCGGTCACCAAGTACCTGCTGCAGCCCTGGAGACACGGGACCAACTACTCGGTGACAATCCAGGGCCTCACGGCTGCCGGCCTTGGGCAGGCGTCACGCTGGGACTTTGAAACCAACTTCTTTGGTAAGGGCCTCCCTGCTCTAGGATGAGTCTGAGGGGGCTGAGGGGCTGAGGACCAGGGCACGGACCAAAAGCAACTCCCAGAGCTCTCTGCCAGGCACAGCACATGCCCAGATTTATGCCCAGACAGCCTGGCAGTGCGTCTCCAGCACCACTCTCTTGGCGGCAAGAAAACCAGTTTGTGGTGGGTGGGACATTGGGGCATCTGTGAGCATGTTGAATGTCAGTGAGAGCCGCGCCAGCACAGGAAGGGGCGCGGTGCTCCCCATCTGGGGGTTCAGGGAGAGCCTTCGAGGCCCAGCTTACATTTAGTTGGGTGGGTATGAAAGTGGGCTGCTAGCGCTGCCTATTATTAAGGTTGCCCATCACTTCCCATTGTAAGACCCTATTTTCAGTTGGTTACAACTTTAACAACCTAACGGTTTTGGCTGAAGTTTCACATAGTGGGTGTCTGCCACAGACTGAATCTTTGGGGAAAGTTTCAGCTAAGATGGTTGAGGATGGAGGGATAGCTCAGTGGTTTGAGCATTGGCTTGCTAAACCCAGGGTTGTGAGTTCAATCCTTGAGGGGGCCACTTCAGGATCTGGGGCAAAATCAGTACTTGGTCCTGCTAGTGAAGGTAGGGGGCTGGACTCCATGACCTTTCAAGGTCCCTTCCAGCTCTAGGAGATAGGACATCTCCATTAATTTATCACCAGGGTCTGATGAAATGCATCCTAGAATACTCAAGGAGCTAATAGAGGAGGTATCTGAGCCTCTAGCTATTGTCTTTGGAAAATCATGGGAGACGGGAGAGATTCCAGAAGACTGGAAAAGGGCAAATATAGTGCCCATCTATAAAAAGGGAAATAAAAACAACCCAGGAAACTACAGACCAATTAGTTTAACTTCTGTGCCAGGGAAGATAATGGAGCAAGTTATTAAGGAAATCATCTGCAAACACTTGGAAGGTGCTAAGATGATAGGGAACAGCCAGCATGGATTTGTAAAGAACAAATCGTGTCAAACCAATCTGATAGCTTTCTTTGATAGGATAACTAGTCTTGTGGATAAGGGAGAAGCTGTGGATGTGGTATACCTAGACTTTATAAGGCATTTGATACAGTCTTGCATGATATTCTTATCAATAAACTAGGCAAATACAATTTAGATGGGGCTACTATAAGGTGGGTGCATAACTGGCTGGATAACCATACTCAGAGAGTTGTTATTAATGGTTCCCAATCCTGCTGGAAAGGCATAACGAGTGGGGTACCGCAGGGGTCTGTTTTGGGACCGGCTCTGTTCAAT